GAAATTTGGGTTGGGGCAGAGGATGGCTTTAAAAGGTCCTTTTGCACAGGATCTGCCTCCTGTAGTGTGACAGGCAAGAAATAGCTTATAGCTCTTCATCCCCACTGTGATGCCTCCCCGGGCTGCTGCAGCCATGATCTGCACCAATGTCCCAGAGCCCCTGGCCTGCAGCATTGCCAGGGCAGCTAGAAGGGGTTCCTTCTAGCGGGACTCGCTCAGAAACCAGTGTACCTGAGCCTCTGTGGCAGGTTGGCATGCCCAGGTGGGCAGAACTGTGTTTGTATGTTGTGAGGCGGTTGGTGGACTGAAGGCAGACGTTGGCGATGGCTTTTTCGGGGTGGTCTACACGCTGGCTGTGTCATCCCTAACTCTGCCTTTTTGTATTGGTGTTTTTTCACCTGACTAGCACGAGGTACACCGGAGCCCTTGGGAAACGTGACTTTGCAATAAACATTACAGCCATGGTGTGAGGACGGGAACGTATCTGTTCAGCTTGCTCAGTGTGGTACATGTTGAAAGTGGATCAAGAGAAACGCAAGCAGAACCAGCAAAGTCTTTTCTAACATGCTGGCATGACGGAACATCAGTGCGGACGGACGCTGATGTGTACGGACCCCCAGAAGAGCTGTACACACTGTTCAGAGGGAGCAGTGTGGCTTGCAGGTGGCTGACGTCCTCTTTGTGTTTGACTTCTGGTTAATCAAAGGCCTGCTTCTTGCTACTGTGCCAAGTTCCCAAGCTTCTGCAAACATCTGGGAGGGAATTAGGTGCTTGTACAAAGAATAAGCGTCAGGAGTTTGAGGTAGGCGGTCGTGCCCTTTGCAAAGCCAGGCACTGTTCCCTTTCTACATGACTTTGCCAGCATGCCTTAAGCTGGTCTTTAGCACCTGTGGGCTCTTTCCAATTCAGGTGGGCTTGTGTAGTAATGCCATTGCCCCACTGCTCTTCCAGGGCAGGTCTTCTTCATGCGCTTGTCTCAAGCCACTCTTGAGCTGGCTTTGGTGAGAAGTGTTGGTGTGTACCCAAGACAAGGACGGGGAGCTGGGCGGCTAAACTCTGTTCCCCTCTGTAGAGAGAATGTCTGTTTGGCAGAAGAGGTTGTTCTCTGATCACTTGAGCCCTTTTTGAGTGATGACTTTGGAGAGGGAAAAAGCCATGCTGGAGGGGATGGATATTGTGTCCTACTCTAAGGGTTGGTAGAAACATTCCAGAATGAGACACCAAGCAAGGATCAATCCTGATTTCAGGGCATTTCTAAAAGACATGAATGGGGGAGAGGGCTTCCCTTATATTCTGGTGCAAGTCTGTGCCCCCCCGCTCAGTATCTCTGAGAGCTGCTGCCAAGCCTCCCTACAGAGAACAGCTTTAGCGGAGGGGAAGGAGGGAGTGCCACCCTGAGACTGCACCCAGTTTTGTACAAATTCAGCCACGCATAAGGGCTTTAGATTAAGTTGCTTCCTCTGTGTCCCCTGTACACTGTCTATAAAGTGGGGCTCATAACACTTCTGTATGAGAAACATAAACTTGTGAAGTAGTTTGAAAACACATGCCACTGATGTCGTCATGCGGCTGGAGATATTTGCTGCTGGTGGCTGCTCCTTTGTCAGTACGGTGACTGGAGCTGTTGCAGCTTTGTTGAGAAGCTAGCCCAGGGTGACTTCAGGGAAAGGAACAAGGGAGCTGAAAGTCCTAGATTTATTGCTGTTCATTGCCTGGAATATTTTGGGATGGTTACGCTGCCCGTGAAGGAGGTGATGATGCTACACAAATGGGCTGGGGTACTTTCCACCTGGAGGTTCTCCAGGGTGCCGAAGGGCCCTATAATGTTTCTCCTGTTGCCGTGGTTGCAGCACAGGACCCTCGTAGCGCTGGGTGCTGTACAAGCACCAAGCAAAGAGAAGGGTTCGCTTCCCCCGTGTCTTTGGCCTCTATAAACTGCAAAAGTTTCTCTAAAGTGGAAACTCTAGTGTGCAGAAATTATGTTTCCACAAAGGAGAGACATTACTAAAAGCTTGCTTGGGTTTTGGATTCTTTATTCTAAAAACAAGCAGACTAGCAGCTGAACGAAGGCTTGCTGGCTACCTTCCAGCAGCAGCATAGCGGGGAACCGACTTGTGGCTTACCCAGCTGCAAGAGCTGCAGTGTGAGCCGTAAGTAATGGATCTTCTGTTAGGTTTCCAAAAAGCTGGCGTGCATGGGTTGCGTGTTTCTTGGAGAACACCTGCATTGCTTGCTTTCCTAATCCCCAGGCGGGAGAGCAGGGTTTACAACAGACATAGCTGGAGCCATGCTGCTTGACTTCAGATCCAAGCTTTCCCCAAAGGTCTGGGAGGGCTGGTTTCTGGATCCCAGCTCAAGCGCCTTCATCCTTAGCTCATAAGTGGGTAGGTGTGGATAGTCTGAATGGAAGGAGCTGCCTGCAGCGAGGTTTCTCTCCCGTGTGTGTAAGTGGAATTGTTTAAGACCTGCAGCCCTCGTGCTGATTGTTGAGGAGAGCTCTCCCCTCTGGGGAAGGAAGGCAGCTTTTGCAGGGATTAGCTGGAGACCTATGCCTTGAACTGGCTTGGGGAAGGTGAGTGCTCTCCGGTGCACCTCTGCCCGGCCTGGCCAACCGAGACCAGACGCCAGCAGGAGACACAACTTCAATTCATATAATGCTGAAGCTTTAATGATGAGCCAGAGGAGACAGGTATGCGAGGGCCTATTTTTGGATGGCTTTTGTTTTGGTGGCTTTTTGCCTGGCTAGGAATTTACTTCATACCCTCTTTCCTTGAGGGCTCTCTTTGGAGGCTGTACGCCAGCATGACTCATGCCTGTCCGGTGCTTTTATCTGTCCCCCTTTGCTCTTCTCCCTTGCTCCTGACTTTTTCACAGCACTCCCTGTTCCTTTTGGACCTGCCCTATCCTGCCTCCCTCCATTCGCAGCCGAAGGCGACTAGGGAGATTGCGTGTTTCCAAACCATGCAGCAAGACGTGCTGCGCCTCTTTGTTAGTTTGAGGCGGTTCTCCAGCAGCTTGTTTGCTAGGCAGCTCCCATGCAGTCCACGCTGGTCCCAGGGCTGGGTTCGCTGGGGAAGACGGGGCTGGGAGTGCTGGCGGTGGTGACTTGCAGCTTAACTGATCTGTTTTGCCATTCCTTTTAAACAGACCGCAAAGGGAGGGGAGAGATTTTTATAAAATAAAATACCCTAGATATGAATCTGTTGTGCAACGTGTATTATAGTCTCACCTGCTTCCCTCTGGGGACTTTGAATAAATGGCTTAGAAGGTTTCTTGGAGGCTCTGCAATTACCTATCCTTTGCTCCAGTGAGGTTGTAACTCCACGCTAGAAACTGGCTTTGCTGAGCTACAGAGATCTCTGGCAGCAGGAGGGCATGAAGAAGAGTGGGACTCTTCTGTCTTCCCACTGACAAAAAATATACCCTTGTTGCCAAGAGGTATATCTACTTCTCGTGTCACCAGGGATTATAACTGTGACTCTGTCCCAGATGGTGCTGTTAAGCAAACTGGGCCACGTGCCTGCCATGGTTTTCCTTGTTGGTAGAGGGGGAATGGGAAGAGCTGGTTGCTTTGTGCTTGAAGTGAAAAGGCTGTCAGGTTGCTAAGCAGTGCTTTTTACGAAATTAAATGCAAGCAGACAGGAGTTGCAATGCAGCAGGGCAGGATGTAGGAGAGCACAAAGAGGAATTCAGACAATGTTTCTAAATTTGCAGCTGTGGCTCTGGATGCAGCAGGGCTCAGAGCAGAGCCCTTGATCTGTAGCATCGCAGGTGGCGGGCACTGAGGTTCCCAAGCGGCAGCCCAGGTAGTGCTCGCTGGCCAGCGCTGGCCACTTGTCCCTCCTGTGTGAGCGATGAGAGAAGGGCTAGGGCAAATCCTGAGCTTGCTTTAAGGCCTATTTGGAAACGTATCCCTGTATTGGCTTTTTGCTTTTGGTGTTTTGTTTTTTTTTTTTTTTTGTCCCAGTAAAACCAGAACTGGATTTGTATTGATGATTCTCCCTCCCAGTGTCCAGTCCTATTTGGGGCAAATGCAATTCTTGGCCTACTTTCTCCTGATAGTTAAGCAGCAGAAACTGGCTTGTGGCAGCAAGCAAACCGGAGTCTTGAGTTGTCTCAGAAGAACAGGAAGGGGCCTTTGTACACGCGGGGCCGCACAGGCGCCAGCACACTACGTACTGCTGGAAAACAGGCAAACGTTTTCAGGAGCAAAGAGAAGCAGCCCAGCGTTCCTCTGCGGCTGCGCCAGCCAGCCACCAGCTGGGCCAGATCCTTTCTCTGCCCTCCCTCCTCTGGGAGGCCCATGATTAACAAAAGGTCAGACCTTGTAACATGAAACAGGTGGAGGAAAAGGTTTCCAGCCCATATCAGCAAGGATTTAACCCTCAAGTGGCTTAACAGCACTTCTTCGGCCTGAGGCTGCAAGTGAAAGGGGACAAGAGCCCACTGTTTGTTTCCATGTGTCCTGGCATGAAGAGCTGATATGATTCTGCTGGAGCCATGGCTAAGCATTAAAGCTCAAAGTTTTCTTGCCAAGGAGCAGGGTATACTGTGGCCTTGTGCTGCAGCTGATGCGATAGCTCCCCTCTGATGCCTCTGCTTACGTCTCCCCTCTGTCAGCCTGTGAGCAGGCACCTGGCTGAGCTGTTGGTGAGCTCCTAGGGGCGACTGCCCTGGAAACAGAGACGTTAAGGACACAGTGAAGCTTGAAGAAGAAACGAGCTAAAATAAAACACCTGGCTCAATTGATTTGGCCTTACCATGTCGGATGACTTGCTGCTTCATAGTCAGCCTTCTGGGGAGGCTCAAGGAGGAAGAACATCACTTTGTAGAAGTAGTAAGCGATAGCCTTCTCTCAGTTGCTTGCTCTGCAGGGCTTGGTTGTTGCAACCCCAAATTGGGTGCTCCTTTTTTAGCATGGTCTTCAGACAGATTGTTTTCAGGATTTCTTCTTTTCTAAGAGCTGCTCTCCACTCTTCTCTGCAGGTAAAACACTTTGTTTTCCAGTGTTTTGTCTAGGCTGTGCTGTTGGGAGAAGATTCCTAGCTGATGTGATACATCACCATTCAGTTCTGCCTCAGGACTCGTTAGGGTATGCAATATATGCTTTAGTGGACCAGTGCTGGATGAAGCCTTGTGGGAGAGAGGATTGGGCATAATGGACAGTGGTAAAAGAAAAAGAAAGGATTGTTCCTGGAAAACCAACCTTGATAAAGCCTGGGTGTGTGTGGTGTGGTTTTTTGTTTTTTGTTTTTTTTTGCTTAGGAAGTACATGGTGGGAGGAGGGAATCAGATATGGAGCTTGACATCTGCCAATTTCCGTTTGCTTTTGGAAACGTCGGCTTTTTTCTCTGTGAGTTGCACTAGTTTCTTTTTGCCCTTCTAACTGCAGTTTCACAGCTCCTTGCTTTGGAGAGTAGACCATGCCATAGGCCTTCACCTTTTCTATTTCAAGCCTTGGGTTATTTGCAGAAATTGCGTGCTCTGAAATGAAACTCTAGGTGTTAGTCAGACGTTCACTATGGGTCCTAACGTTGTCCCATTGTCAGCAGCTGTGATAGTGCTGCTGGATCAGGCCAAGAGAAGACCCAGTGAGGTCCCAGGGTATGGGAAACGTCACAAAGGGGATTGTGCTTTTAGTAGGGAAAATGCTATGGAGATAG